CTACTGACTTTTAGACAGTACATCATACTCTATATATTGAAATAATGATTCATTGAATCTCTGCAAATTTTATATCATATCAAGCACTTTTGACAATTAAAAATCTTTCATATCCTCATATAAGTAATTATATTGAAGATGCTCTCCAAAATTTATTTGAGCAATGGGAAATATCACAAAAAGTTTTTGTTGGTATAATAGATAATGCTTCTAATATGAAAAAAGCAATACGATAACTTGAATACAATCATATAAGATGTATAGTCCATACTTTTCAGCTTGCAATTAATGATGAACTTGAATTAATAAATGATGGATTAGTAAAAAAAGCAAAGAACTTAAATAATTTTCTTGTAAATCATGATAAATACTGTGATAGATTCAGAAAAGTGCAAGAAGATATTATAAATCAGACAAATCTTCAAACCTCACAATGTAAACCTCTTGATCCTATTAGTAGTGATAGTAAAATCTGATGGAACTCAATATTAGTTCTATTAGAGTGACTTTTATTACTTCACCAAGCAATTCATGAACACTAATTATAACTTTTGCATGATTTTGATCATCAAGTACGAGCAGATACTAATATTTTAAAAAACTTATTATCAGATGATGAGTGGAAATGTTTAAATGAATTAGTAATTTTACTGAAATCATTTGCTATCACAACTACATTCTTAGATAGAAGTCAATATCTAACACTCTCACAAATATTTCTCACTTTTCACAAACTTTTTCATTATTTAGATATAATAGATTTAATACTTATCTATCCAGATATTCATATAGTTTTAGAAAAAATTCATGAATCATTAACAAGAAGATGGAAGAATTCAAATATTCTTGATTATATTATGTTATTTTTGGATCTGAGATTTAAAAATCTAGCATTTATATCAGAAGAAAAAATTCAACAAATTATTAAAAAACTAAAAAAAAATATTATAGAAAATATACCAACTATTTTTGAATCCTTCAATAATTCAGCTCAGATTTCTTATTTGCAAGATCAATCTCTTATGTTATTATTTTATAATAATTTCAATATTATGATGATTACTACTGAAATACCTATCGAATCAGAACTTCGTATTTATCAGAATATGTCAACATTATCAAAATATGAAGTATCTCATCTATTATATGCAACAAATAATTCATATAAGTAGTGGAATGATCATAAGGTAACATTATCATTACTTGCTGAACAAGCAAGAATTTATCTTGCAATTTCAGCTTCTTCAGTCCCTGCTGAGCATCTTTTTAGTGATGCTGATAATATATTAACAGATAAAAGAAATTGACTTGATCTTACAAATGTACATGATATTCTTTTTCTTAAGAAAAATTTAGCTTTCATGAATATATTTTCAGAATTATTACAAGAAAAGAGCTAATATTAATATGTATGTTAGATAATGATAATGCATATACGTAATATTAATATATATTAACTCTATAATATAAATAAAGTATCTAAATAAGGAAATTTATGTGATTATCAACTTGAGTTGGCTAGCCAAAGCAAAAAATTATGACTTAGTTGCATCAATATTTTATTATCAGCTTGAAATACTAGATCAGATCTTATGATTAATGAAATTAGCAACATATGGATATATAAGATTAGTAAAGTTAATATATACAATCAGAATGTAATGATGTAAAGTCTCAGATTGATGCATAAATTCCAAATATATGAAGATGTATCAATTAAAGATGGCTCCTCAACTAATTACAGCTTGCAGCAGCTAATCAGAGAATTGCGATAGAGTTGTGGCAGCTAATCAGAGAATTGCGACAGAGTTGTAGCTAGTTGCGGCTCCCATCTCTAGTATCAATAAGGCATCAACTAATAAATCAAAATAAAAATGATTCATTAGTCTTGATAACATAGAATCACAACAAGAATAGTGGAAGAAAATTTAATTATAAATAAGAAAGGCTTTAGAATAGAAGCGAGATAAAAATTACAATTAAGAAATAATTATCAAATAATTTATCATTGTAATAAAGTTCTTATTAAATAAAATAAAGATTACTATTATTCTTAAATAAACGCATACATTCCTTTAAATTATTATTAATCTATCTCCACACTTTCTATTAATAAAATAATCTATCCTAAGACTACAAATACTAAATAACAAAACTATGATACCATGACCAATGAATTATCTTCTTAGGCAAGAACTAGCACTATAACTTGGAGAATTCAATATTGATCGATGAAATTATAAATTAATTAATGGAAAACTAATTGGAAAATAATTCATGATCATACAGTATCATGAATTACTCAGTAGATTCTCCACATCTATTTTACCAGGTAATAATATGATGTAAATCTGCATTAATGATCTTTAATATTAGGTACGTGTCTTACATATTTTAGACTTTAATAAAATACAAAGCTTTTTGACAAGCTCCAATTTTAACAAAAATTTCTTTTATAAAAAATCTATCAACTTGTATCAAGAGTTTTCAAATGCCTATGCATACTACAAACAAGCAACACACTCTAATACCAGCCCAAATCATCAAGAATTATTGAGAGAAGCACGAGCTGCATGGAAACAAATTAAAAATCAAGACAAAACTATTATTCGGGAATAAATTAAAACATATTTCACTATCTTATCTCATATAATTCAGTCCTACCAGAGTCTTATAGTTTTGATACCCATTGCAAATTCTTCTACATCAGCATCAGCATCTGCATCCAGCATAACAGAAACTTTCTTGCAGGTATCTAATGAGATAAATATCATTGCTAAAAATGCAATCAGGCAAAATAATATTATTACCAAGATCAAAGAAACAAGTTAATAATTATATGCGTATGAATGATCATACATACAGATGCCTGATGATGATTTGAGATAAGTACTAATAACTAAAATTGAAGAAAAAAAGAAAATTATCAATGAGAACAAAGTAAAATTAGAGAGATTCAAATGTCATGCAGAAGCTTAAGCAAGGCTTAGAGTGAAAAAGCAAAAAAAACTTGAAGAAGAAAGTATTATCAAAGAATATGACAAACCTGGACAACCACCAGCAGCAATTTCACATCCAGATCTGTGGGATAACATTTATGATTACATCAAGTTTGGAACTGCTCATGCAAAAAGAAGAAAGATAATAATTAAAGTTCATATGATCAAACATCTATGTGAAGCATTAGAAGAAAAATATAATATTTACCTCTCATGCCAGTATTTATCTACATATTTAGAATCACAACATAAACATACTTTTGCCATTTGTTATTACTGTTATCCTATAAAAGTTGGTCTTATGTCAGTAACAAGAACTGATATGAAACAATATGTGGACAAATATTACTGCTTGGTATCTGTTAAAGCAGCACAAGCTTTTACCAAGTTTTTCGCAAGTGATTATATTATTATCTCTCAAAACAACAAAGCAAAAGTCAGTTTAGATATTCCTGCAATAGAACAAATATTTAAAACCATCCAAATAATAAATGAATCTGTGACAATTAAAGATCATGATTTTTCCAAAGAAAGTAAAATAAAACTTATATCTTCAGTATATCTCTTCATTAATCCTGCTGATTCAAATAGTACTCTTCGAGCTGGTCAACTTGCTATTTTCATATAACCAGAATATTTTACTAGCACGTCATTATTAACCCATATGACAGATTTGCTAAGTCTTATTGCCAATTCACAGTTTGCTTCTATTATATTGAGAAAAAATAAAGTTAGACCTATATGAATTCTTCTCATTAATGGTGAGCCTGATGAGAATCTAAAACACTTGAAAAATATTATCGAGTACTACAATCTATTTTATTTTCTGGATCTTGACTATTTAACTATCTGAACACATACTTCAGGACAGAGTGCTTACAATCCTATAGAGCATAGTATGGCTTCTCTTTCAGATAAGCTTGCTGGAATCACTCTACCTTTGGATAAGTATGAAACACATCTAAATTCTCAAGACAATATTATAAATGAAGAATTAGCACAACATAACTTTGAATTTTTGGAAGAGAAATTATGTGAAATTTGGAAAAAAGATAAAATATATGGCAAACCTATAATAACACAATATGTTGGTAAGAACTCTGAATCATTTGCCAATCTTGAGCAACTGATATGGGAATGAATTAAGGATCACACTCAGTTATATTACTACTTAATAGACCTAAAAAAGTGTAAGAATCATCAATATTATCGTGAATATCAAGCTCTTGACACTGCTATCTTGTTAGAAGAGAATGATAAATTTCTTTCTCCTGTTATCAAGGCCAAGAACAGACATTTTATTAATCTAATACATATCCTTCAATACTTTAACAAACTAAAGATTCCCCCTCATGATCGCTCATGCCTATCTATTTCAAACAAAATGTATCAGCGCTTGTATTATAGTATATGTAGCAAGTATTATCCTACCTTGAAGTTTATTGCAAGTCACAAATATTACAAGCATTAAACCAAGCATGACTGATCTCAAAAATAAAAGTCTTTGTCAGAGACAAAAGTCTCAGTGATTACTACAGCAATCAACATGTTAAACTTAAGAGTTGTCAAGGATGCAGAGTATAGTCATAGTGATAGGTGGCTGAAAGAAACAGATCTAAGACTACATGAGGTGTAGAGTGATATTAAGTAATTGATAAAAAATACTAGCAAAGGATCAAGAATTGACTACTATATAATAACATGTTTCTTTTTTAACATTATGTAATTAGATATGTAATAAAAAGTACGTGATATATTATGATTTTGTGTTATGTGATAGTTAACATATACTATGCACACATCATGTATGTATAATAAAAAATATGTGATAAATGACACCCCCCTAACTTGAGTTACAGTATTTCAATTATAGCTAAGAATAGTTAAACTTTGAGCAGTTGCTAGGGTTCAAACTATTAATTGATTTCTATCACAATTCAATCCATCAATAATGGATAGTTAATAAAAGTTCCAACTATATATAACTACTTAGCTACCTCTTTATTGTACCTCTAAAAACTCCTTCTCAAGAATACCTCTATAATTATCCCAAAGCCATCGTAATATTTCTTTAGCTGTTGGTCTATCAAAATGGTTTTTTGCCATCAGTGTTGTTGATGCATAATTACTTAGTTCTTGAACTTCTACCAAGACTGTTCTAATTAGATATCCAACAGACCAGATATCAACACTTTCATTATGATAGGGTTGGAAAATATCAGGAGCATGATTATCACGAGCCAATAGTGTGTTAGGAGTACTTGAAGGAGTGTGACATGCATCATCAAAATCAATAATGAACCATTTGTCTTGATCAATAAATTTCAACACATTGTCCCAGCGGAGATCGCGATGCATAATGCCTATTTCATGAAGTGACTGTGGATAATGCTTAATTAAAAAACGTCTCAGTTATAATAAAACAGGAAAGTCAAACTATACCTTGAGGGCGGTCAAAACACAATGTAATGCTTTGACTAGTTGTTCCTTAGAAGTTGGCTTATGTCTTACACCCTTTGGTGAAAAGATGGCAAATGGAGTTTCAGTTTCTGTTGTGTTGGTATCATCCAAGTGATCTATGAAAGGAACATTAGAGTTTTCCATTTCACGGTAAAGGGTCTTGAGTTTCTCAACAGACCCCGCCGAATAATAACGTTTTATAACTGAAGTTTGCAACAGCTCGATTGTTTTGCCGCTTGATCTGTGGAGGATGATAAACTCGTGCACGAAAGCATCTGGAAGGGTTTGACGAAGAGGAATTAACAATCGACCGATGTTTATTCCGATATTGAAAGCCTGTATACGTCCATCTAGTGTTTCCAGTAAACAAGTAGCTAAGTCCTTCCGTTTGACTTGATTTTCTTCGAAGTATAAATAACAATATGTAACCATGGTGCCATGCGCATAATACCCGAAAATGTAGGGACAATCTCCATAGGTCCACGTTAATTTTGAGACCAACTCAACTGCCGGATTGTCATCACTGTTGGGTCCCTTTTCTTCCCCTCTGGTAAGACAAGCATGATGTATCAGGTATGAAAAATCAGGTCGAAATCTTTTTGTAGAAGTATGGCGATTCGAGTTTCGTTTGAAGATTCCTGTTGGACATGCAGTTTTGATAGGCTTGAAAATAAGTGCGTCCCAGAACGCATGAAATGAGTCTTCGGTGGAACCAAATTCGGGTGGACAAGGAATTTGTATGAGACATTCTGACCAAAATCGCGAGGAAGCATTGAGCGAGCTTACGAAAAATTTATCCAAAAAGCTTGAATCAAGCTTTGACTCAAAGTAACGATTATAATTTGTTGGATGAATTCTAATCGGTTCGATGAACGGCTGTTGAATATATTCCAACAAATTCGCGCGGGATGGAATGAATTCAGGTTCCATCTTAAGCATGTTGAGAGTCGAAAAGTACAAAGAATTATCTATTATTGGAAAGGAGATAAGGGATGAGTTTAAGCATGAAGCAAGATAGAGATTGACAGATTCAACATTCAAAAGCAGTTACAAAACTAGATGATAAGGATATCGCATAATAGATAAAAGAATTTTAAGAAAAATAAAAAAGGGAATGAGAAATAAATTTATAAAGTCTACTTTCCCTATAATGTTCTACTCTATGTTCTCAACGCCAAAATACAAACTTAATTAAACCACAACGAATGTCGGATATCTACAGATTCAATGTCGGATATCTACAGATTCAATGTCACATATAGTACTTCAAGAGGTTGAAACTTACCAGTGGATGCATCACTATCGACACTAACTATAAGCATTATAAATGGAAAAGTAAACATTGGATTAATAGCATTCTTCCGATAAACTATAATACACCCAATCAATTCATAATGAAGGAAACCATATTGTACAGCGTTCGAACTATACACCCTAACGTCTTCCCAATAAAACTGTTACAACCAATATTACTACGTCTACTCTACACTATATACACACTACTCTATGTCCCCAACGCCCGAGTCACAAAGTCGTTACCTGTTTGAGTTCTTGCCTGCCGCAAGTCTTCACGACACTTCAACACCTCATTACTCCACTTCGTAACCTCCGTCTCCAGGCTCTTCTCTTTCTCCTCCAGTCTTGCTTTCTCCTTCTGGTCGTCCTCATCTAGCTCTTTCCTGCGTCTCCTCAGCTTCTTCAGTAGCAGCCCCTCGTCCTCTCCTTCGTTAAACGCCTCCAACGCTGTCTCCGCCTTCGCTAGCCTCTCCTCCGCCTTCGCCAACTCTCGTCTTACTTCTTCGGCTGTTGCCATTTCTTTTTTTTCTCTTTAGAAAGAGAAGATGTGCTGCGCGCGATGTAAATATTAAAATTAATAAAAAGAAACTTGAACTTACTTCTAAAGAATATAATATTATATTTAAAAATTATGATAAAGGAAAAGTCTTCTAGTAATTAAATATAATTATTAATATTAATAATAATAATAATATAGTATTTATACAAGAATTAGAATTAATAGAAAAGATATATCAAATATAGAACAAGATATATTAAATATAGAACAAGAAAAGTAATTAGTGCAAAGCAATATACTTAATTAATTATTAAAATTAATTATAAAAAAATTTACTAATATTTAAAAATATGATATCAGTTTTATTATAATCAATAATAATAATTATAAGCAAACTAAAGATGATATTAAAGATGACCTCTCAACTGTTGCAATATGATGACAAATAAAGCATCATCTAGTTGCAACTAGTTGCGACTTATAAAATTTTGGAGTTGCAACATGTTGTAACAGATAACAAATAAGTGTCACATACTTGCTGCATCATCTTTAGATGATATCATAATTTAATTATTAATTATTATAATTAATTATAACTCTCTGATTAATTATCATAAGTCATAATTAATTGAAATGATATCTCTAAAGCAAATATTTTCAAAAAATACTAATAAAGAAGATATTATATAAAGTTTATTAATAAAGTTATTTATGTCTATTAAGAGTGAATTATTAAAGTTATAATTAATAAAAATGAAAATAACAAGAATTTAATATCAAAAAATCTAATTAAAAAGTATATTATACTAAAATATATATAATAAAAGCAAATTAAGAAGAAATTACTTATTGATATTATTATAAAAAAGAATTTAAGAAAAGAATTAAGGATATATTAAAAAATAAAAAAGATATTAAAAATTAATCTATATAAAATCAGATTTATAATAAAATTATATAATATATTCCAAAATATTTAAAAATAATTTATATAAAAAACTTAAAAAGCTATTAAAATATATAAATTATTTTACAATATTAGAATAAATAAAATTAAATAAATTAATTTTTATATTATTAATATAATTTTAAAGCTTATAGTAACTCAAATTCAATTAATAAAATAATATTTTTATAAAACTAAAAATAAGAAATCAAATCATATATAAAACTATTTAGTTTTATATATAATTATTATATAATTTATTATACTATATATTAATATATTAATTAATTCATAATAATACTACTAATTTACAGATAATGGAAAAAAATATTAAATATTTTATATATTTTTAAATTAATTTATATTATTAAATCTTATATTTTTTTTGACATTTATTTTATAATAAATTATTTATATATAATGATAATTTATAATTAAAATAAATCTTATTTTTATATAATATATCTGAAAATTATAAAGCTATATGTAATTTTCTCTTAAAGATTTATTCTTTAAATTTTATCATATAATATATTATAAAAAAGAATTAATAAAAAGTTAGAAAGATGGAATTATTAGTATAAAAAAATCTGACCATATATATATCAAGATCTTTAAGACTATAAATTATTTTGTAATCTATATATTAAAAGTATATAAGCTTAAAAAATTATCTAAAAAATAATTAAATCATTTACAAAGAAGAAGAGAAAGAAATAAAAGAAATATTAAATAATTTTTTTTAATTCATTTTATTTATTTTATAGAAAATTCTAATATTTATTTATTTATAAAATAATATAGATATTTATATAATAATTTTAATATTTTGTATCATTTAGAAAAGAGTTTAATAATAAGAATTTTTATTTTGGATTTCTGAAGTTTTAAGATGATTATATACAAATTTATTATAAATTAATAAATAATTTGATCATTTTTTAGATGATTTTTAAGCTTATATACTTCTAATATGTAACTTACAGAATAATCTATAATCTTAAAAATCTTTTTATATATGTAATCAGATTTTTTTATAATAATAATTCTATTTTTTTGACTTTTTATTAATTCTTTTTCATGATATATTATGTAATAAAATTTAAAAAATAATTTTTTAAAAGAAGATTATATGTAACTTTATAACTTCTAAATATATTATATAAAAATAAGATTTGTTTTAATTATTATATATATAATTTATTATAAAATAATTATCAAAAAAATACAAGATTCAATAATATAAATTAATTTAAAAATATGCAAAATATCTAATATTTCTTTTTATCTTCTATATAATAAATAAAATATTATATCAGATTTATAAAATATATATTATAATCAATTATCTATTTATATAATATAGTAAAAGTAATATAATATATAATATAGTCATAATATATGATATAATTATCAATTACTACTAAATCAAGTATATAAGAAATTTATATTAATTAATTTAATTTATTTTTAATCTTATTTTTAAATTCTTTTTTATAATAATATCAATAAGTAATTTCTTCTTAATTTGCTTTTATTATATATA